CTTAGTGTTTTTGTTAAAATAAAATAGAAAAAAAGAACTTGTGCCGTAATCAGTCTTGTTAAAAACTTGTAAATATGTAGTGAGTTTAGTGCAATGGAATGGAGAAGCAGCACATCTATAGGAAAACAAATAAAGAGTGAAGGACTTAAAGAACAGAGCTGTATGTGGAAATAAAGAGAAGGCAATAAAAGGACAGAAGCTTATTCAAAGTGTATGTTTTGGGAATAGTGATTAAATACTGAATCAAATATAACAGTAGTAACTGTATTACTAAAATGAAATGCTGCTGAATTGTGCATTTAGGCTTTGAATTCCTTTTGAAAGTTTTGATGACTTTTGACAAACCACACAAGCCTCTTTCAAGGGGCCAAGGATACCTCCTTTGGCTCATCCAAATGCAGAGCAGAATTTGGCCCTTCAGCTTTAGGATACTATCAGAAGCTCTAGGCAGAATTACAGTCTTGCTGTACACAGCTGAGTGTATATAATTCTTTAAGTAAAATTCATGTCTGATGTGTTGTAAAAGGAATGAAAGGTAGCTGTTAATTCCAAGGCTTATAAATATGTCAGTGGGTTTTCATAATGTCTTAATAAATTACAAGAGCAAACTCAGTGACTCATGATGTCACCAGAACTACATGCTGCTCTGTATTTATTGTAATTATGTACTATACCTCACAGAATTCTTTTACTTTCTACATGAATATAATAGGTCCCACTAAAAAATCAAAAAAATCCTCATGGATTTCTTAATTTTTTTTTTTTTATTTGCCATGTTCCAGCTGTTTTCTTGTTCTGAGCACTTCTTGAAATGAAGAAAATTTTAAAGAAAATGTCCTTAAAAGAACATTGCTGCAACTGCTATATTTATTCACTGACAAGCTGAAATAAAATATAGTTTCCAAATATCCTCAAATTTGGGTGAAGTTCAAATTTTCCTTGGATCCTAGTTTTCTGGCTGGCCACCAGCCCATATCACTAATGGTATAACTAGCTGAAAAATGGAAAAACAATTTCATGAAAATTTCAAGATTATTTTGGCTTAGTCCTGAAATGTAAAGATAGCATCAATATCGTAGTTGGTAATGCTTCATTCTTCAGCCTAAAAAATAAACACAGGACAGGCTAAAGACTTTAGGTAAGTTAAACGTGTGAGACTAATTCAACAGCATTTCAAAACCACTAAAGTAAACTTAGTGTGTGAAGAAGCCCTTGGCTCTTTAGTGCTCCCTGTCCAAACTGGTTTTTGCTCTCCCAGTTATAAGCTGCAAGTGCAGCTGGCATTTAAGTGTTGTGATTAATTGTTCTTTTGTATCAAAAAAATACAGTGGGTTGATACATTGAGTTGGCCCTGCTCCCACATGTATGCTCAGGTGTTGAGCTCAATGGTACAGAACCTGTTACTTAAGGTGGGGAGAAAAGGAAAGAATTCCACACTGCATCCATTTTTTATGGCCCTTGTCTAAATCACTGGAAATGGTAACTCTGAATTTAATGTATGTTGATTTGATGACGTGCTTCTCTGAAGATATTAAATAGACAAAACAAATAAAGGACCCTGATGTTTCTCCCATCGTTACCGAACTAATTCTCCAAGACACCTGTACGTGAAATCCCCTTGTTCCAGCTGCATGTCCACTCAGGCATTGCTTGCAATGACACAGGTATCTTTTCAATATGGATGGCTTACTTTTCTATCCAGGAAACCCCGCTCCAAACTTCTCATTCCAAAAATAATAGCGGTGTTCAGTCACATTTCATGAAAGCATCTTAGAATTTATATAAACAAGACTAGTGTACATTTCAAAGAATATATAAAATGCTGGCGTTTTGCTTTTACTGCAGGGATCAAAGAGCCGATTAAAATTAAAATTTCATGAACTTTAAATTATGCATTTAGTCATAAAAAATATTAAAAAAAAATTTAAAGCAGCAGGTGTACCTTATATAGTAAGATAAAGTTTAATATATTTTATTAGCTTAAAGGACACAGAATAACTATCTATCCAGAACTTCAGGCATGCATTTACATAAATATATTAAATTAAGAAAAGCAATTATACACTTAAACATCCTTTTGTCTAAAAAAATCATTAAATCCACAGATTAACAATAAATCCAACTCTATGTATTTATCACTTCCAGATACAACTGTTCCATTTCTCAGATATTACACAAATACATTTGTTAGAATTTATATGCATTATACATATATTATATATTACATAATAGTGTGTATACATACATGGTGTTCAATAATATAATAATAATTTGTAGTTTTTATAGCACTTTTCATTTGAAGAGCTCAAAGCGCTTTACAAGGATCGATTTGACTAATTTTCAGATGGAAAGTGGAGGCACAAAGATGCAATTATTTCAGGATATATAGAATTTGTGACAGACAGTAACTGAATTCTCTTGTTGTGAACTTCAGTCGTGCTGTCTCCCTAAGAAGAAATGCACATATAGCTTATGTAGTCTATGTAGGTAGACTTGCAAAGACTTGTAAGGTCTCAAACCAAGAAAGCACTTAATTAATTATATTAATAATGTTAAGCACATGACTTCAGTGAGACTCATATGCTTAAAATTACTTGTGTGCTCCTGGTGCTCTGCTAGTTTGGTGCCTGTATATGCTTAGTAGTATAATACAGTTTATAGAAGATACTTAAACCTAGTTTGAATGATATTTTCTAAGCTATTTCCCCACATTTCAAATGTACATACAGTACCTGACAGCTATTATAAAATAAAACTAATTGAACAGGGGAATGTCACAACAGTAATGTTCTCAAGTGAATGAAGTTTGTTATTTCCTTTTCTGCTTGGCTCCCATTACAATCTAATTGTTCTCAATTGGGACTTGAAATTTTGATTCTGCAGTATATTTTGTGGGGGACAGCTAATAGTATTTCTGGGTAATTCACAGGGTAGGGTTACTGCTTCTGGTGCTAATGGAGATCACTACAAGATACATCTGGTGGCTTAATACCACGTGGTTTCTGGTCTTGGTATATCTTGATATGAATTAAGTTAATTCTGCACACCAGTTTTTACTGCCTAGAACATTTTCTTTTTAGCAGCTCCTCCTAGGAACATTCAGAAAACAGGATTGATTGTTACTGCCTTGTGATGCAAAACACCCTTTTGTCCTACAGTAAAATGTATCCTACAGAAAAAAAAAAATCTCCAAAACAGCCACCTCTCTCTACCTTCTTTCCAAGAATATTGTGAACACAGCCACTGTGTATATTCACAATATTTTGCTGGTGCCTCCTTTCTGAAATTTCCTTGGAATTAAAGCAATTTTTCACGTAAAATATTTTTTACTTTTTTACTTCTCTTTTCATTGCAAAATGACAATAAATAGTAAAATCTCATAGAGGAACTTTACTATATGATACATTGGACCCTATTGATAACTTGTAACAGATGGAAAGTTGTTTTTTATCAGTAGAAATAGAACTCTTCTCCAATAATGCAGCTTGCTGTCTGTGCAATAATTTCTGAGATTTTTGTTTGTGGAAGCCTGTCTGTGTAGACAATAGGCAAAGACACACATTGTATGTATATAACACAGAATATTAGGTGTTTGTGAATTTCTGTGGCATGAAATGATTGCCAGATGATACCTTTTCAGTACTGAGAGCTCTGGAAGCAGGTGTGTCGCTTGGCTTTCAAACCAATCCGTACAGTGTAATGTGAAGAAAAATTTCCTACAGAAGCCCATGGGAGTTTTCTTTGGGTTATGGAACAACAGGATAATCCTTTGCTTATATATAAACCAAACAACAATTACTAATAACTCAGGAGTGAACTGAAGGAAAAAGGTGGATGTGTCAGTTGACCCACTTGTGCTATAAAACAGTAACATTTCTCTTTTCCCAGCAATGGCATCAGAAATACTGTCTGATTAGTCAGTCTACCCGGTGTAAATCCATGCAGGATTAATCGCTGTGCTAAGATTTTTTGGATGTCGAAAACATTTTAGAGCACGATAAATTCTGTGTGCAGAGTTGTAACTGAAATCAATGAGAACAAAGGCAAGCAGCAAACCCACGTGTAGGACACGTCTAAGGAGTGTCTGCTCATGTCCCACCCTGTTATTGCTTAGGCCTGGCAGGTCAGTACTGAGGACTCTCACCACTTTCAGTCTCCCTAGTCTTACTAGTAAGGGTGACAACAACATTTTTGGATTAGGATATAGTCTTGATTGAAATGTTACACCATCCTTACTACATATACAGGAAAAAAAAGGTCTGAAAACACACCTAATACTGCCAAAATCATCCCTTGTAATACTGGACTCAAAACAGCCGAGGGAACTGTTACATGGATGTTCATGAGCATCTGTGGGGGCTGCCTTGGGCCCCATCTTACTATGGCCATTTCATAAAATGGGGACAATGACTTGATATTTCAATTACTTTCCTGCTTGCTGGCATGTGCTGTTTGAAACAAGCGTGAAAGAGAACACATGCGAGCTAATTGTTCAACATTTTTCAAGAAGTATCAAGAAGTCTGGCAGATTTTGTGTAAACGTTGGCAATACCTATAAGGAAACCCGAGAGGATTGGATATGCTTCGTATGGCTTTGTGCAGGGCTGAATCTGCAGGCTTATTCTGGAAAACATTGGTCTAATGACTGGAGATGCAGACACAGAGAGGTCATGTGTGCACTGATGTCTGAAGTTAAGATCTTCTGCCAGCTAAGTGGATATCTTTTAAAGACTTAATCCTATAACTAATGAAGTCAATAGGAGATTTTCAGTTGACATCAATGGACTTGGAGTCAGGCCCTCAAAGATTAAAGTAATCCTGTACTAAGCTTTCAGGTGGCTTCTGCTGTTTCACACCTATAGCCCCAAAAGTACGTGTCTTATTTCACTGAATTACTCTGTTGTTGAAAACAACAAACTTTTCAGCAAAACAGTATTTTCTCAATGTTTCTAAAGCATTTTGTCCTGAAACTATTTACAGAAATATTTATCAGGTTTTTCTAGCCGGAACCTAGATTAATTGGTATAAATTTTCTTCAAATTTGAATCGGAATAAATTTAAAGTGTTGGTTGCCTTTTCAGTGAGAACGTTATTTTTTTTTAATTGCAAATTATTAGTGAATTTTTATTCGCATCCTGGCTTCCTTTTGGTTTTTTTTCCTGAGACGAGGATCACGTTTTAAGTTGGAAAGAAGATCAAAATGGTATCATTCCTAAATAAACTGATACACAGATAAATTAAAGGATAATAAATTAAAACACATTAATGTCTTTTAAAGAATTTACTTAATTAAGGAAAAATAAGCAGAACAGGATGTCCTCAAACTTGTGTTTTCCATGTACACTTAATCTTATAAATGCCTATTTCATGGATACAAGTAGAATTACATTAGATTTTTATCACAGTGGGACTTTACACCTGTGAAATTACTTGTTCATATTTTCAGAATCTCAATTTTGCATAATATTACATGAAAACATCCTAATTTCTGATCCCAAATTATAGGAAGTGTATACTGAAAAGCAATATTTCAGAATCCCAGGAGTATCATTATGCTTTTCAGTTAAGGCATCTGATCATTCAATTGAACTTGGTAACTTTCTGACAAGCACGGTGACTGTTAAGTGACAAAGTGATTTCTCCCTTCCTCCAGCTTCAGTCTATCTGTGCCCGAACTTCTCAGCCTGAGCCTGAGCTGTGTGAGACTGGTACTCCTGAACTGTAAATGTCCAGCTAAGACACAGTATTAGAAGTCACTATAAAATAACAAAGTTCTGTGGAATGATCAAAAAATAAAAGCCTCAGCCTGCTGGGAAGCCTTTTTGTTGCACGTGTCTGTCAGGCAGTTTCAAAAATAATAAGCATCACCTGCAGCAACCAGGGGTTATTGATGTTTGCTGTGGTTCTAGAAAGGAAGAAGCTGCAAAGCCAAATGTGGAGAAGTGAATGAAAGGAGGAGATAAACAGAGGTGTCATGTTGGTGATATAGAATTTGTCCTCTTAGTTATAATTAGCATACACATATTGCATGACATATAATAACCTGTGAGGATTTAAAGGTACAAAGGGTTTGCATCTGTGTCCCTGACTGTTAACAGGAAGAATTTATTCCCAGGGAGAGGGTTTGAGTTAATATTTCTTATTGGACACATTAGAAAAATGTTTTTCTGAAATGGAGTGAAACAATTTGGAGCTGATTTTACATAACATCTTTCTGTCTCCTTATATTCCAATAATATGCCTTCTTTCTGATCAGTGGCATTTAAAAAGAGAAAAATGAAAGTTTTCTGTTCCAAAATAATAAACCAGAGGTTTTAAAACTAACAGACACCAGAAACAGAGTTATGTTTCTTGCAGCAGGTATGTTTGTTCTCTTTTAACAGTGGAAAGCCTCAAAGAATGCTTGAAATGTACAATGTGTTGGGAACAGAGAGGCAGTATCTCCGAATAAAGGAAGAAATGAATGGAATAAAAGATTAGGAGAGAGAGAGACACAGAGACAGAGACAACTTGAGCACATACATAAAATCCCTTCTGGAGGCCCTTATCTAATTGCCTCATTTATCTAGTTTCATTTATAAGCTCAGTTTTATTCTGGGACACTCTCGGAGGTTGTGTGAGAATGGCTGCAGAATGACCTAACTGGCAACAGGCTTTCTACAGACCCCTTTTTTTTTTTTTTTTTGTATGCCAATTCTCAGGGCAATTACTGCAGTTGCCCTTTTTATATCAGCATCTTGGGTGGCTAGGCCTGGGGTTTGCTCACTCTTTTTAATAGTATAATTTCTTTTGATAAATAAGCAGCTAGGATTTTTTGTGTCCTTTTTTTTTTTTTTTTATGAATGCTTCTTTTGCAGTGGGACTTCCTATGTACATGTGGGCTTAATGCAGATGTTTGCTTTCCCATGATATAAAAGATGATTTAAAAATGCAACAAAACACTTTCACAAACTATCTCCCCCTTCCCTCTAATCTTCATTTAGATTGCTTCTTGGTTTTTAAGTTTTGGTGGAATGACTCAAACAGAAAATGTTTTTTAAATAAAATAAGCTGAAGTATTTTGCTTAAATTTTGAAAGTGATTTCTGGGTGCAGCAGAGCTGATATAAGTTTTTGCCATTGATTTGAATAAGGCCTGGATTTAATTCTTAGCTCTTACTGGAGTTTTATTTTCTGATTTCACTAGTAAACTAAATTGTCTTTATTATTAAGATCAAAACTCTAAGATCATTGTTATCCCTTCTCTGCATGACTGTGGCATATATATTATTGTGAGTCTTCAATTTAGGTGCCATCTGTGGTATTTTTTAAGGAACTAAGCAGTGAGAAAAGAACTATCACATCTCCCCAGCTGGTTGTTGAAAATAATGTGTCACAGTGGAATTAAAGTTGGGTTTATTTTTAAATATATTTCATTGAAGAAAGTGTTAAAGATGTTATCTCTGTCAGATATTTAAACGTTGCTAAAATACTTCAGCGACTTTCTTGCTTTGCTGATTATGAAGAGTGTAATAAAACCGCGCTATGTGACAGATTTAGACAGCTGGCTCATTCAGGAGAAGTTCACATTTTTGTCACCCACGTTGAATAAGGAAAGATTAGATGCTAAGGTCAATTTACAAAAATGGTTGTCAGGACATTTTTTAATTGTAAAACTTTTTGTGATGGAATTCAGGGAAAAGACTAAAGGCAGAAAGCAGCGGAGACAAAGAGCTGCTATTAACCTACAGATGCTACCACAGGGTTCATTTTAAGATTGGTCACACTGCTTAGCCAATGAAGTGTTCGTGTGACTATAAGGGACCACCCTTTTCTGGGGTGAGAGGGCAATTTGGTCTTCATGCTCATTTAATCCCAAGATGTCTTTCAATGGACTGTCAGTTGAATCTACATTGTGCAAAATTATGCATGCACTTTTTAATGCAGACCATTGTTCTCTGAGCACTTAACCAAGATTTCTCAACCAATTTCCATGTGGCATGAGGTCACTCGAAACCCAGGCAAACATATATGGAAGGCAAATGTAATTTTCTGTTCCTCTGAGCTGGAATGTGTAAGACACAGAAATGCAAGTATCAGTCGCTCTGTAATTTCGGATTTAATACCTACTAAATGAAGACTGACAAATTTCTATAAAGGAAAATTTGTTGCATGTTGCTGCCCTGCAGAGGTAATTTTGCTACTGGAGAGTAATATGGCTACAGTCTTTTAGATCTCATTGACTAAAGTGTTGTCAATTGTTGATGCATGAGCAGCTGCTTATAAGGACCACAGGATGTGCACACTGTGGCTACTTCGTTTTCTTGTCTTAGGCAAGATTTTATAAAAACCAGATAGTGCAAAGGAAACCTGATAGATGGTAAGTAGTGAGCAAAGAAACCGCCAATAATACCCTAGAGCTGGAGATGAGAGGGCACCAGTTCTGCATATACATGTAATTAGACTCTTAATACCTTAGAAAACCTGACTAGAGCATGTACACCATATTTATTGATACATTTACAAAGACTCAGTTTTGTGTTAGCTCTTGAAGGAACATTTACATTTAGAACCACATTTGGCAAGAATCACTCTACCATTTGTACAAGTGACACCGTGCACAGGCAGCACGTGCTCGTGTGAGCTCCCGTCCAGGGACGTTCTGTTCAGTGTGACACTGGCAGCAGCCTGCTTGCATAACCTCTTACACTGTCCTGTTACAGTGAAAACCACTTTAGGGACACTTTTAACACATGCTGAAATTTTATTGTGATTGGTTGGCCGTTGTTTTTTTTCTCATCCGTCGTAAATGAACACAAGTTGACACAAGGATACATTTCTAGATTAGATCCACAACACATTAAAGTGTGTGTGTTTGCTCTCTCTTTCCCCGTCTTTCCAATTAAGTTGGTGAAAAATGTAACTTTAGTATTTTACAGGACATGGTAAAGCTGTCTCATCTAGGTGATGTCTATATTATAAAAATAAAATAAAATAATATAAATATGTAACATGAACCCAGTGCCCACCGTTAAATAAAATATATGATAAAAAGCAGACCTTCTAGGATGACTGGTTTTGAAATATGCGAATATAATTTAATTATTAAACACTTGAAACAATCTTGATATTAAGCTGCGATAACCAGATTTTTGCATCTATGCTAGATAAAGAAATGCGTAACATTCTGTAATAGAGTTACATTGATGAAAGTGAAGGTTACAGTCTTACAATGAATTGCCTAGATAGGAATGCATTAAGCAGTTCTGCAATATTGTCTCATGATGTAGTTCAGTTCACCTTAGAAACTGTTACAACTGGATTTTATTAAGTCCAGCAGTTTATACGGCGACGTTTGAAAACTGCTTCCTCACCGCTCTAATCGGATACGTACAGACACGAGATTGCTGGGATATCAAAGAATCCATTAAGACATCATGGAAGTCCTGTGACGAAAATGTGTTTTACAGTGGAATTGCTTTGTAAACTATTTCTCATGAAGAAATAAATATTAAAAAAGATTCCACTCTCTGCAAAACCGTATTTGTGATAGCGCGTGTGCATGGGGTATGTGTGCACATATTGGATATCGGGACGTCTGTGGAGACGTACGGGAATATTTACACACATACGAGGAATTTTTCTGCACATTTGTGGATATTATACTTAAATTAATAAAGTAACTCAAATCACCGGTATTTGCTGCAGGATAAGAGTCTTTTAAAAATGACAGGATTCAAAACAAATGCCCGTTGAGAGTGTAGTTTCCAAACAGTCCCAGGAACTATACAATATAGCTGGTTAGATCCAGCAAATAGGATGTCATGTCTAGGATCTGATCAAGAATACCTGCCCTTGTCACTCTTCGGATGCTTCTATCCACTTGTTCACACTGGGGGCCGAGATAGCCTTTTTTACATAAGCATTTATTAGGCCTTACACAGACACCTCCATGTCGACAGGCTGGGTCACATTTTGCTGTGGGGGGAAAAAAAACAGTGATTTTTCTGATTTGTTTAGAACATCACAAACTGAAAAGATGCAGTTACACATTCATTAAGAGCTTTTCTAGCCTTGTAGTGATGAAGCAAGCATATAGATTAAAAACAAAATAGAAAAAATGAAATATTAGAAGTTGCGAAAGCATATTTTTAAAAGTTCTAAAATATTAGGGGGAGGAAGTAATTTTGTATGTCTGAGTGGACATCACCTATGAAAGACTGATAAATAACAGATATTTTTAAAATATCCAATTCCCATATTCAGATTGGATATTAGAGTGAATAGAGAACCTATTTCAAAAGACTTCAGCCTCCACATATCTTATAATTTGAAAACAACATACACATCACACCTAGATCTAGACCAGGGGTGGTCTACCTCATTCCATTTCTTATGCTGCCATCCCAAAGAAGTCCTGAAGTTGGTGAGACATTTTAGCACCTGGCCATCCCCAAGTCAGCAAGTGCTGAATCTCAGGTAAACTCCTTTGTCCACACAGAGTTCTGCACTACACTCTTTCCTTAGCAGAACAGACTAAAACTGAGCAGAGATGCACTCCCTTGGCTCTTGCATCACTTAACCCTGGGACCAGGATTAAATTCCATTTAGTGAAAAAAGAGCCAGTTATTTTTTCAGCAGTTTTTATCAGTTATATAGGTTTTAAAGTTTTCCCCTCTCTCTTTAACAGGTGATTTACCTATCGAGTTCTAGGTTAATCAGCTTGCTTCAGCTTTTCAAATGTAACTGCTATTTTAAATTGCAGCCAGTGTTAGCAAAACTAATAATAACTTTAGTTGTGGAGGTATTTTCTTCTGGAGTAGAGTCATAGCACTGTGATATATACAATGTATCTTTCTTTTTTTTTTCAGGCATTATGCTGTTTAGTGTTATCTATTACAATAAACTGTAATATTAATTTACAGATATTTATAATACACTATATAAATACAGGTTTCTTAATTTTATCCACATGCTTCTTAATGACACTAGAACAAAACTGATATCTCGTAGGGTAATTTTTCTTATTTAAATTATAATAGTGGCTTGAGGTCCAGCTTAGACCATCTCTGTTAAATGTTGCATAGAATACAGGAAAGAAAGATCCTCATTCTACATGTTTTCTGTACCTTTCTTGTTCATTGTGTCCATCAAATTACCTACCATAAACCTGTATTTTTTTAAACAAAACAGATTACTCAAGACCCATTTATGCTCACATTGGAGGCATTTTTTACTTTAAGTTCCACTTGGAGAAAGGCTGTAGAATGAGCCTCACTCTCTAAAGGTAGGAAAGCTCTGACTGACAAGTGAGGACAACTGAAGGTTGGACAATTTCTCCAACCTGCTTTTGTTGCACGGTTGTATGATGGGCAGCTCATGAATCTTACCCTAAGATCCATCATTTGTGATTTCATGAATTTCATTTCATTCCAAAGTCACTCCTGCTCATCACTAAAACCCTGGAGGTTGCTGAAAGTTACACTCGAGGCTTTAAGGACTTCATAGCTGACCCTGCTTCACCAGGGCCCTCCTGAGTGCCCTTCCAACTGGAATTATCCCTGGTCCATTGTGGGATCCTTGTTTTGTCTTGGTTCCTGACTCTCCTTTGAGTTCTGCTGCCATTCTGTTATTGTACAGCTCAGACATAACCACAACCTCTGTGGGACAGTGATAGCACAGCTGTGGCACTCCAGGTTCATTCACCTCACCCCTTTGCTGGTGCACCCAACATCTACTTTGACCACAGTTTCTTCAAGTGACTTTTAAAAGCTAAAGCAACAAGACTTAATGAAATCACTGTAATAAGGGATCACAGTAGTGTTCTCCTTTGTGCTAAGCTGTACATAGAATCCTCTTTAACAAACTGGAGCCATTTCATTTTGTAGGATCAAAAGCAAAAAGTACCCAAACTAAACTTTTCAAGTTGTTATTACCATCTTTCCTGACAAGGTACCCCTGTTTGACACTGACAGTGATAATACTGCAAGTGGAAGTTGAATGTCCAAACAAGGAATGTGTATTGACTTCCTTTCATTTTACAGTCTTGGTGGAACAAATAAGAATACTGTTGTATGTCATATTTATGCTATTAATTGCATTCTGTACTTAAAACTTCTCCGAAAAAAATAACTGGAAGCAAATTATGACATGTCACTGCTTTTTTCCCTTGTTGCTATGAATCTATATACAAACCAGTTCTGCAGAAATCTCCTTCCCAGCCTTGATTACAGCAGCATTTTCCTGTGGGAGTGCAGTGCCCATTCCGACAATGCCTTGAGCATTCAGACGTCAGTATCTGTGCAGGCTGAGCCATTCTTTTGCATTCTTCAGGGACTAAAGGCCTGAATAAAAATATACAAACCAAGCAAACAGTTAAAAGTCAGGGTCAACGAGAAAAAATTTCGGTATTTTTTTTAAAGACCTGATTCTCTGTTCTGGTACTACCAGTGGGAGAAATTGTGTGCTAAGGGGATCGCGCTTTTCCTCAGAAAAACCAATAAGCGTAGAGATGATACGTTACATTACAGAAAAATACAGTGCTATTATTATATTGCTATTATTTCATATAAGTGCCTTCAGAGATCTTCTACAAGGTTGAATAATAGTCCTTGAGAATTCCTGAAGCTTGAACCTGGCAAAATCAGCTTGCTGAAGAGCTTATCACAGGCAGCATCTGATGGTGTCTTTTTGTGTTTCTAGCTGATTCAGACTTCCCCATTTTATGCTGGGAAGAGTAACCTGAACAAGTTTTACGTCACACATTAGGACGTGTATAATAATTCTGCAAAAGTATTACCTCTGCCTACAAATTCAGTTACTCTGCTGGCTTTTTATTTCCATATTTTCATGGAATCATGTTTGGATTATGCATTTGGGATGCTTATTTAAGCATCTGAACATCAGGAAAGACTTTTTCACTATGAGAGTGGCCAAGCGCTTGCACAGGTTGCCCAGAGAGGTTGTGGAGTCTCCATCACTGGACATACTCAGAAGCTGTCTGGACATTGTCCTGGGAAACTGGATGCAGGTGTCCCTGCTTGAGCCCTGGGCTGGACTCCAGAGGTCCCTTCCAAACTCAGCCTTTCTGTAGGTGATTCTGTAAAATGTACGCACAAAGGAAATTCTAGTTCAGCTGACTTAAAATATTGCAGATGTTGGGTTTTTTTGTTGGGCTTCTTGTTGTCAAGTCTTATGTAATGCAACTGTTTCTGCCACTCTCTACAAAATATTTTGGATATCCAGTAGCCTTTTTTTTTTTGTTTACAAAAGAACAGCATTATCTTCCTTAACAAAGGAGTAATTGTGGTGTTCCTTCTGCAGTGTCAAGTGTGTAAAAGATTTAAGTGTTTTAACTTAAGTGTGCCCTAACTGTTGATACAACTTCCTATTTTTTTTTAGATATTTACTGTTTGTTTGGTTTTAAATTTAGCTGTATGTCATCATACTGACATTTGCTGTCTGAATTCAGCAGATAGAGACTGACAGGATCATCACAAGGCTACAGGTTCCCAGTAGAAGTACCATGTTCTGTCTCTGCTGTAGGTTTCATTGCACAGGAATAAGCTTAGAAAAGAATGTCAGGATCTCCCAAGTGTTCTAATCAAGTAATTGAATTGGAGCATCATGGTAAATTAAATTAATTAGTGACAAATACAAAATTACTCATTCTCAAGGAAAAAATCTGAACTACTGGCATACATTCCTAAGCTTGATATTTGCAGGACAAAGATTCTATTACTTTTCTGGAGAGCTTTGAGAAGGCTTGGCTAAGTGTCCAGCTGGAATCCAAACAAACCAAACCAAAATTGTATTAGACAGAATAGAAAATAACATTGTTCATAATACTAACATCAGTATTACACCCCCAATTATGTGCAAAAAGCTGGAATAGCAACTTGTGCCCTGCTTACCCTGTCAAATATTAAAATCCTAGACTGATACTCTTGTGTGGAGAAAAGGATAGTTTTTGGAGTCTGAGAAAGAATGAGTATGATGGAGGTGCAGAAAACTGTGACAGAAAAAGAAAGAGGAGGAAAATTGGGCATCCTTTTTTATCTCCCATTTCAACATCAGAAGAAATATCAAGGGGAAAAAATTAAGCTAAAGAAAATAAAATTAACTAGCTGAACTCATAGCTTCTAAAATATCAATGAAGCCCATGTTCTAGTAGGATTTTAAAAAGATATTTCTATGCACAATGGGGCCATTCAAAGTAATATTAGATAGAGTAAAAATAATTTTTAAGAAAAATAAGCATTCATACCTAATGTCATCGAAGTCCCTCACTAGCTGACTGGGCTTACATTTCCCCCTCCCAGTTTGGCATGCAGCTTGCTAACTGTACACTACAGGATTTCTTGCATTTTTCTTTGAGAAAGACTAATAGAGTACAGGCTCACTGGTTTGTTTCACCATAGCACTTTCTCTGCTCAATCTTAATTACTACCATGATTATTTAAACATTCATACAGAGGAGCTGGTTCCCCAAAGATGTTAAGGGCAGAAAGAATGTGTAGATGAATCTTTAGCGTGGCACTAAGTTCTGATTTCCAAACCATTTCTGAGAATCACTGAAGGTCCTGTATTATTTAAGGGCTTTGAAACATGTTTTGACACCTTTGGTACAGCATATTTGAAACCCTTTCAGTTTTAGTGTTTACATATTTCCACAGCTGTCTTTTAAATATAATGCATTATTTTTTTGACCTGTAAGGAATTCCAGTTCTGTAGTAATGAGTGTGTTACACATGATCTGGTTAAAAAAGTTCCTACACTTAAAAATTATATGCAATATTCACAGGCAATGATATTTTGTAAACTGTTCTATGAAATTATATGATTTTCAGTGGAGACTTGTTCAGATTTAAAGGAAAAATATCTGTTTTCTCATTCCTATGTCTGAGGAAAAAAAAAAATCTATATTTGAGATGATTTCTTTATAGCCAACTGCATAGGAGGCAAGATTCTTTCTTCATCTGGCACTACTAAAGCCCATGTATTTCAAGTTACTTTAAATGGGAGTCTTCTTACTCAAACACAAGTAGAGTGCTGTGTTTAGCAGGAAGTATAACCTCAGGCTCCTGGAGCATCTCTTGGAAACAAGCTCCAGTGGCAAATCTTTAGCAAAGAATGACCTCATAAGTCACAAAGATATTTTATTTGTATATATAATGATTTATTTTATTAAGAGATGTAAAGTATTTATCTATGATAATGCTGGAATATATGGTTCTTCTTGTATGTGATAGGAAGGCAGAAATCACGCTTTTTTTGTATCCAGCCAAGTATGGCTGGTCACTTTTATAATTTAAAATTTTCTACTGCTCTTGGTACTTGTGAATATAACCCTGCCTTTTATTCTACCATCAATCAATAACTTGTACTCATCAGCCTTGGATAATATTTATTAATGGTGGGGTGGAGTAGAAACAAAGATGGAAAAAATTGTGGTTGGCAGAGTGCCTTAGGAGAAGAGAAATACAAATGCAGCTGCAGCAGAATCCTTCTTGTGTGTGAGAATTGCTGGGTTTCCTTAGCTGTACTACAGGAAAAGCCACACTTTCTCAGGATTCGAACGCTGTTATGGGACCAACGTGTGTGGAGAGAAAGTCTCTGCCCCTCAATACTTACACTTTGCATTTTTTAAGGCTTGAAAGGGGTGGAAATTTTCAGTCTCAGCACAAGTTGAACTGAATTTCACGAAGGTAACATAAGTCTCGAAACGGACTGTTGGGACTTGATCTTTCCTGCACTTAGACAAGCCTATGATTTTGTTTATATAACTAGTGCTTCGCTGTGTCTCTTGACGTGGAAAATGGAGGGGAATAGATGGAGCCACACTCTGGGCTGGAGAGAATTTTTTTCCCTGTATTCCTCAATCTATAAAACTCTAAAGGGTACAGCTTGATTACTCTTACAGTAAGCACTATTTGGTCCACAGAAAGTCAGCCAAAAATGTAGCTGATAATGACTATTTATATGGTCTGTACAATTCTAGTTATCTTAAAGAGCTGTTCATATATACAGTACAGTACAGTATATCTTGCTTGTTAAAACAGGCTTTCATGAAACTGTATAACAACTCTAAATGTATGGAACATGGAGGAAAAGTTGTACTGGGGGCTGGGGCCCTCGCTGGATCCCCTTGCTGACGTGTGCAGCGAGCTGGGAATTCTTGACTCTACAATGAGTAAAGAAATTTTTGCTGCCTTACCGTAGCTAATATAAGAAAGTAGCCTCTACTGTTAGTTTAGAGGCATATAAAAGTCTAACATGCTTTAATAGGTTAAAACTCATCCTGGTGTTGCTCAGGATTTCGTGCTTTCTTTAGCGCTTCTCTCCACAAAAATGCACGGAGTGGTTTAGTTGCTATATGTGCTATTTGTAACTCAGATGCAAATGGAGGGCCAAATTCAGCAGTAAAACAATGGTACTGAACAGAAAGCTATTCCTTCACCATGCTTTTGACACAATATCAAAATCTCTCCTTCTCCACTAAAGTAGAGGAAAAAAAAAAACCCCAGACAAAATTCCTGGATGTTCAGATTCAGACAAGACACACTGCCGTAGAAATCCTGACTGTGATACAAAATATATGGAATGTTATGCTTCAATTACCTGCACAGAAGATATTAGGCATCAGAATGATCCTAAAGTATATCACCAAAATTCGTGCATTAGTTGTTGGGTTTTTTTCCTTTATAAGGGAAAATGTCAAGAAAAAATAATTTTGTTTCACTCCTTGTCATAGACTAAATTTACTACTTGTCATGGAATAAATATAGCATCTCTTCAGGTACAGCTTCTAAAATTAAAAAGTATACCTTTAGTCCTGGGAGAGATGCCAAAAGCTCGTTACTTGTCTCCAGATTTACTACATGGGAATAATGTGGAAAAAACTCATGGCTTTTAAGATTTAAACTCAGCAGCATATCAAATTTATTCTTATATGGTATACTTGTTCATGACCTCTAGTCTTAAGAAATTCTGTCATGTTTGAAAACTAGTCCCTAGTGAAGCCTGTATCAATGTTAATAGCTAAGAGGTCAATGCAACTGCTAAACAGTTTGTATTACTGTCAGGGTGGTCATGAAAACAACACCTGCTGCATGAGCACTTGGCAGCTGGGTCAACAGGCACTGTGGGAATTTATCAATTTAGGGGGCCACTTGCATAACACTTTGACTGATGAATTGGGAAAGACTGGCTTACTGCGCTAAAGCTGCTCTATTATGTGTGACTTTCTTTAGGATGGCAGAGGCTTCCTGCAGGCTCCAGAAAATAAGCAAAAGATAAACTGAGCTGTTTTTTTTCCTTATAAAGCGATAAAAAGTGAGAACTC